CACACACACACACACACACACACACACACACACACACACACACACACTATGCCCTTCATGGCTAGAAAATCCTTCCAGCCAAATGTCAGTCAGCAGCACGGACACAGCAGCTAGCATAATCCATCCTTCCTTCTTTCTCTCTCTCGTCGTCATCATTGTCTCTCACTCGCTTCAATCACTCCACTCCTCTATATTTCTGCCTCTGCCTGAATTATGCTGTCATTTCTGTTTCACATTGCTAAAGGAGAGATGACAGAACGAAAACGGGAAACAGAGACTCTCCATTATCCCCCCCCATTAATTCGACAGTTTGACAAACTGAACGGCCGAGCGCTGTGTGTTCTGTCTGTGCGGTCAGTCAACAAACAGCTTCTACATCCCAGAAATGAATACCAGCCTTCCCCAAACAAACCAACACAGACAACTAAAACAAGACAAGGACGATAATGTATTTAGTTTGAAACAACCCAGCCACCTCGGCTGCAATGCCGACAGAGAGGATCGTTCCAGTGATCACAGAGACAATGTGGGATATTGATTAGCTTGGAGAGGCCTGTCCGAATGCACAAGGACAACTCCACTCCAGGTAACAACGGCTATCTATTTCTATACTGCTAATGAGGCTGTGAGGGACGGGCTGCACTGTCAGGCAGATCTGTGGATACCCATGAGAGGTCCTATTGTGTCCAGATGACCACGGCCTTTCAGGGTGCTCAATAAAAGAGTTCACTGAACTAAATCAGTGAAACTTATTTTTACGTCTCAGCTGCATCAAGCTGATGGAAAGATTGTGATGCAGTCATACCGAGAGAAATATTTTACGGAAAAATGTATAGAAGCATGGTTAACTCTTGCATAAAGTTAATCTTCCTGAAGTTTTCCTGGACTGCTACGGATACACCATTTTTACCGTGTGATACAGAGTGAAAGAGTGGTAAAAAAAAAAAAAAAGAGAGCTAGAGTCTGCATAATGCTCTACTGAGCGATGTTTTGGGGCCAATATTTACACTCTGTTTTAGTGTTGAGAATTGGGAAGGATCAGTTCTACTGAGCTGTTGATAGGATTACATGGTGGGTAGACGTGTGCGAGAGAGAGAAGTGTGTGTTTGTTTGTGTGTGTGTAAGAGAGAGGGAGAGGGTGAGAGTGTGTGTAGGCAAAAGTGATATATATATATATATTGGCATCAGTCAGTCACAGAAGCGTTCCTGTTAAAAATGATAAGCACTGGGTACTGAATGGTAAACAGCCCAGTACTGTCTGTACTGGTGGATCATGTGTCAAGAGAATTTTAAACAAACTTTTGAAATGTCGCAAATAAGAAATGACAATAAGGTGTGTTTCCATCAAGGGGTTTGGAGCTAATGTAGTTGATCTACACTGTAGTCTGGTCAGAAGTTGGCGCTATAGGTTACGCAAGGCTGTAATCCGCCAGTAAACAGAGTAGAAGAAGTAGAGGTTGCGAACCACAAACAAAACAAGTCGTCTTGGCCATCTAACTCATCTACAAGAGAAAAATGGAGAGAGGTCTTCAGGAAGTTGTTTCAAAGTTAATAATGAACTATTTGCCATGTGTCATGCTGTCCGGAGCCGAAGAGGAGCACATTGTGGGAATATCCAGGTAGACACCGATCAGTCATGTGACGTAAATGTTCGGTACGTCAGACGTTTATTCGGCAAAGGCGTTTCCATAATCCATTTAGTGTGTCAACTCTTTTCCAACAAAAGCAAAAACAACCTCAAGTGAGAGTATGAACTTTTTGTTCGCAATTGAAGATGTTTTATCGAATTTTGCGGTTTCCATACAGCTTTTCTATTGAGTTACTTCAAAATGCACGTAAAGATATGTGAATGGAGTGTCCTGGTTTTTATTCCTTTCCGTGACCTTTGCTAAAGGTCTTTCCACACTCGCACTAATGATTTCTCTCAGTCGCTAGTAAATTATATCTAAATAAAGAAACAGGTCTGAATCTGGGAAGATTTGAACGCAGTTACTTTGGGTCTCTTGAAAAGCCTCAAAATCACAGAAAATATACATTTAATTAGAGAATACGTGAAGGAAAATATTTTTCTAGGATGTTACAAAAAGTGTGGGGCGCTTATTGTGCCATTGGTACGACTCACACGAGCTGCCACACCGCCTTTGGCTTCCCTTATGAAGCCCCGTGCTCTGGATTTTACCCTGATTTATTACCATGTACTTCACGTCCTTGTACAATACAGAGACATTGAGAAATGTGTCTTGAAGTGCCTTCTAATGAAGGTCTCTCCCAGTGGCTCTGGTATCAGTATTAGCAAATGAGCCGAACCGGTTAAGCCGGCAAGCGTAACGACCAATGTTCTTCTGGGCCGTCACCCCCAAGGATCCAGTTTGAACCAGTAATGAAATGTTTATACCGCCTGAATTATTGAAAGTCATTTTTGATCAGCCTCACATATTTCAGAAGTTGTGTGCCTTAAACACAAAATCTGCTAGACTAAAGGAAATCAAGGTGACTAAATGCACTCGATGAGGATTTAACCAAAAGGATGCGATATGGCAATTTAGAGAGTTTTAAATGGTCATCATCATCATCATATCAGTGTGGCATGTTCTTTCTCTAATCATCAGGATTAAAAAGTAACACGTACAACATGTACAGGATACTGAGTGCTGGGCAGTTCACAATGACTGCTAAACCACAAAGAATATGATTTTACTGTTAGAAAGATGTTGCTGATGTTTCCATGTCAGCAATAAATAAACCATTGCCATATAAAATTGGAAGCATTGCTGGACAAAAGATTATTCCCACAGGCTCTTTTTTTTTTTTTACAACCAATTCCCCTGAGGACCGAAATCATTTCAATATGTTCCTGTGTAATCGGTGAATGTTAAACATCCCACCTTCCTTCTCTTTATCCTTCCATTCAGTCCTTGTACTTCATCTTTTATCAACACACTGTCATCCCTACCGTCTTTCCCTGGCACCTCCAGGTTCTGCTAATTAAATTATCATTTTATTAGTTCTCACTATTGCCTGAGACTACATTTACCCAGAAGGTTAATTCAATCTGGATGAACCTGGCTTAAACTGAACATAAAATAGTCTGTGGTGCTTGTAGTGGGAGAGGAGAGGAGAGGAGAGGAGAGGAGAGGAGAGGAGAGGAGAGAAGAGAAGAGAAGAGAAGAGAAGAGAAGAGAAGAGAAGAGAAGAGAAGACAGATAAGCTGAGGAAGTGTAATGGTAAGTTTTATTAAATTGCAGTATATACACATTACAAGAATATTCCAAAAATAATTGCTTGTTTAGGAACTTGCTTATTTGTTTTCTAACTTCTTTCACCGAGTATTACGAAATGCATCCAAAGACTCATTAACAACTCCCTCATCTCCTCTTCCTTATCTGCATTTCTCCCTCATGACTGAAAAGTATTGTATTTTTGTTAATGACATTGTTGCGTAACAAGCTCTGGCTCACTGAATCTTTTAAATGTCACAAACCCAAACCACCCGAGGCCTCATAGATATGCAGTAGCTCTAGTTTGTGTTTCGCTTTCAATATGATATTTCTCCCTCCGATAGTGTCACACCCACAACCCTTTGAAATAATTCCAGAAAACGCTTAGACGTGAACTCACCCAGTGTGCATGAAAATGTAGCTGAGGTATCTCCAGGCCTGGGCTCGTAGCTGCGGGTGGTAAGGTAAGGGGCTCTTCAGGAAGGACGGGCTGGAGACCTGCAGGACCAAGCGGTCCAGCTGGAGCCCATAGTACATGAACACGGCTACCTGGGAGAACATGCATGAATAAACACAGAATGTGTGATTTTCAGGGGGAGTGGAATCAATATTCGCACCACAATAAGCACAATGAAACAATGTGAAACATGGACATCATATCATCATTTACATGCACAATATTCAAGTTTTTTCTGTGTTGTGTGGCTTGCAGGTAGTTGGTAGGACTGTTTAGTCCCTCAAAAAAAAAAAAAAATGAAACGGGTCTTAAAAAGTTATTAAATTAAACCTCAGGATTCCTCAGGATTCCACGTGCTCGAGACATATTGGTCTCACCCTCCCCAAAACAATGTACCTCAGCAATGGTAATAGCCAGGATGAGCCAGGGTGGGGGACAGTAGGTGTAGCTGTCGAAGTACCACTTGCGGTCGACCTCGCGGGGCAGCGTCTCGTAGGCCACGTGTCGGACCAGCCGTTGAGACAGCCCCAAGCCCGCCTCATCTCTGAGACTGCAGCCTTTTAGCTGCCTGCTCCCCTGCAGGATGGCCCTCCGGAAACTGTTGGAGCGCTTGTTGCTCATCTGGAGAAAAGAGGACGGAGGAGAGGAAGGTGACGAAGGGGTATGCCAGGGTGGAAGAGGAGACAGCGGGAGGCAAAGAGAGAGAAGAGGAAGGCCAGAAAGGAAGAAAGAAGGAGGAGGTTTACTACAAATGGTTCAGCACGTTTTAACATGAATGATCATCCAGTTTTATTTAACATGTGAACCAAGGTACTTTATTAAATATATCCAATGTACAATGTACAAACGGAGTCTCAATGCATTCTGGGTACAGGCTACACACACACACACACACACACACACACACACACACACATATATCAGTCCAGCACGCTGATGGACCCCTTCCACCTCGCCATGGCAACAGAATGCCTGTAGCATCACCGAGCAACCACCAAACCCCTCTCTTAATCCCTGTCTGTCTGTGAAGAGTTCATTTCCAAACATCTATATACGTAGGTTCATTTTTGATGGGCGGTGACCTCACAAGTAGTTCATCATTCAGAGAAGATCCCCACCAGTCGGTATCAGTTTTTATTTTTAAACCTGACAAAATGACTTCTCTGCTCTCGTCTCAAGAGGGCTGCCATCTATTTTGATTTAGTGCTGCTGTTTGTAGAGCTCAGGTGCCACATTTTTCAAACGGTGGGCTTGTCATTTTCAAACACACGTAAATACAGCGCAGCTACATGAAGGCAGTCTAAACACACACGTGCGCACATTTTCAGTTGAACATACATGCACAAACTTGACACACAATGGTGAATATGTCCACAGTGAGGATTTGAAAGATGTTTTTTTCGATTATAAATCTCATGTTGAAATTGGAGGATGTCCCCTAGAGGACCAAGAGGTCAGTTATAGCTCCGATATAGTGTCCTTGACATTTAGAGGCAGAGGTAATCAGAGCGCGTGCGTCTATTCCTCATCCCGAAGCAAGGGTTGAAAATGTACTCGGCATACAGGGAAATACAACCTTCATCCGGGTGCACCAACTATTATCTACACGCGGATGGATCACTGAACGGGCTTGACGGGTATAGGCCCAGGGGCCCAAAGTGTCAGCGGCCCCCCCCCTGTTCTTCACCTGGATAATGAAGAGACTCAGAACAACCACAAAATGATCACAAAGAGGTGCAAAATAACTGCAAAGACACACAAAATAACTACAAAAAGGGGAAAAACAACCACATAGGGACACAAAACCCCCCAAAAAATTGCATAACAACTACAAAAAACCACACAACACAACACACGAAGAGTAAACTATAAAGTCTGTGTGCCTTGCTCGTATGTAGGAGAGGTGGTGGGGTCGTTTGCATGTCTGTGCCCGGCGGCCCATTGTCTCATAATCCGCCCAAGATCACAAGCTTCATACAGTACCATTTTAAAACTGTTCCTCTTTGAGGGGCAAGAATTCAGTAACAGTACGAGCTTTGTGCCTTTTACTACACTTGCTGTGTGTTTCACAACGTTCTCCATGACGATGCAATGACTCCGGTGCCACTCCACTCCCACAGACTCTTTCTTAGTTGTTCTGTTTATGTCACACTCCATTACTCAACCCTACTACTGTGTTTGTGTCTCTCAGATTGGAGGAAGCCCAGATGTGTCATTTGGTGGATGTTACTTAAAGGCAACACAGGTTGATATTGTATTTAGCAAGTAGAGAGATTGGCAAAATAAATTAATGTGATGTGCTATCGGCATTAAAAGTATAATAAAAAACACATATGGATATAACTAGTGCAACTTCAAAAGCCACAACTTTAAAGCGTTGATGTTTATTCAACAGCAAACGCAAACTTAACACAGAAATAAGATGACATTTTAGTTGGAAAATAGCAGAGATACTTATCTGTGAACACCTAGGTACACATCACAATTCATTTCAATTTGACAGAGTTGGAAGAAGAAAACGCAGCCAGGAGAAAAGAGCGATATAAGACGACAGATGTAAAATCAGAATATCAATAAAATCTCTGTATGAAGGAACAGTTGGCTGATCGTTCTTCTGGTGCTGTTTAATGAGGCTTTAGTGTCACCGCACGGATCACCGTTTGGAGATAAACGGCAGAAAAAAAGCCAATTATTTCAGCCTTTATGTTGGGCACAGAGAACTGTGGGAAAATGATTACGTGTTACCATGGCCACTTCTGGACCGCAAAGAGAGTGCGCACACGCGCACACACACACACACACACACACACACACACACACACACACACACACACACACACACACAGACAGACAGACAGACCTCCCCAAGGCAGCTGTGCTCCATAAAGACGGTCAATTCTTCGTGTGAAGTGACTGCAATTCCTCTCCTCTTTATAGGACACAAAAGAAAGAATGACGTCCTGCCCGTTTACCCACTGGCATGAGGAGAGGGGAGAAGGGAAAGGAAGAGGTGAAGGGGGCAAATGGGTGTTCGGCCAGCAAGAGACAATTTCACCATTTGATCGATGGAAAGCACAGCCAGAGGAGAAGGAGAGGGGAGAGAGACATAAACCAGAGAGGGAGAAAGGGAGAAACAGAGGAGGACAAATGGAAGTAGAGGAAGAGGAAAAAGGCTGGAAAAGAGGGACCAACAAAAATGTAATTAAAGGGACTGCGTTGATAAGGGCATGTTGTTTCAGGTCCCAGTAAGATACAATCCAGGGATTCCAGTTTGAGAAATAGGTCCATGAGTTACAATCATTTTATCTTTTGTCAATCGTAAACATTAGAAACACAGCATTCACTCTACAAAGTATAATCTACCAGGAATGTGTACTTGGACGTATTTGTTTGGCCAACGCAAGGACATGCCAGACTTCTTTCTCTCTTGTTCAACTTCTTTTTGTTTTTTGGTATCCCCTGCCAACATGCAACAAAGAGGCCCCAGCCAGACTTGATGATGTTGAAACAGGAAAGGAGCTTCCACAAACTGTTGGAAGGAAACTATTGTCTAAAACATCACGCTGTAGCATTAAGATTTACTTTCATTGGTACTATCAAACCATGAAAAACAGGACCCAAATTCACGAGAAATGGACGGACAAATGGACAGAAGGAAGGACGGACACCCCGAAGACATAACGCCTCCGCACCAGCGTCAGCCATTTTCGATATTATGACTGCATCAGGCATACACAGGATATATATGAGTGCAGCCGTAAGCACCGGTACAGATCCATCATGATCATTCCACAATTTCATCCCACTCTGGGTTAAACAGAGCGATTCAACCTGTTTGTAAATATTTTAAGAAATATATATATATATATATAACTGAGGATATACTGAGTATATTACTGAGCCAGCTTCTACAAAGAACAGACGCAGTGCATTTTATGAGAGACAGAGTCAGACAGCAGAAGATGGATGGACAGAAGGAGGAACTTAGAGCTTGTGCAAGAGAAGAGAGGCCGAGGGAGAAGGTAAAGAGAGGGAGTGAGCCGCGATTTGAACGCCGACTGTGACGAAGCAGTGAGCAGGCAATTACTGACAATCACATTGATGGAAGTCAGAGCCGCGGCGCTAATGGGGAGATGGCGCGACAAATAAACCCCTCACAGTTTGTCTGTCCTCGCCTCCTTCTCCACTTCTATTCTCCTTCTTTCCTTCCTTCTGTGAAGGCAGAAGAGCTGGAGAGATAGAGATGCACCAACAGAAACCAGCCACTGACAAATAACTTGCTGGAAGAATTATAACTCTCTCTCAAGCTCCCATATTGGCTTTGACTCCTTTGATCTTTGGAGACCATTAAAGCCTGCCCCTTAGAAGGTCCATTATGTCGTTACATACCCTACATTCCTTGAGCTATTCATATCATATTTACAAGCTTTTCACACTAGTGTGGGTTCACATTTGCAGAAATCCTTGTAGATAACACCCAACATTTAGCCCATAACCGTCTCCTGAAACAGAGCTGGACACTCTTACTTTCAGCGTATAGGACCAAATATGTTTTACAATTATTTAAAAAAATAAAAGAGAGCAGCTAATCGTCACATTTCAGTAACTGGAACAAGCAAATCTTTGGCATTTTTGCTTGATAAATGATTAATTGATTCGACTAATAAAACTAATTGTATTCGCTCTTACTCATTCATTGCACAGTATATTACCATAATCATGAATACATGTCCCTACTATATCCCCCCCCCCCGCCCCCTCTCCCTCCCTGTGTGTAGCTTCTGTTGTGGCTGCCTCTGTGAATGTATAAACCAGTGAGGGGGTGGACACAATAGCAACTCAGAAAAAAAAAAAAGTGAATGTACACACAGATGCCGGCACCCCATTCCTCTCTGTCCCACTTTCAGTTGCACGCCATGACCCACCGCCTGTCACGTGACATGAATGCACCAATTGGGAACTAGCAGCAAAAAGGCCTTTTCACATTTTTCAAGCTTCCTACCCGGCTCATCCCTCACCCACTGTATCAGACAATAAGCAGCTCTGAGGAACGAGAGAGAGAGAGAGGGAGAGATGGTCGAACTCACACTCGCAGGCAACACTGAATTCCCTATACAGTCTCTACAGACGCACACGCCCCTCACTGCCACCCAGTAGTTGGCGTGTAATGTGTGCCACACAGCTACTCCCACTGCGATCCCACTCCACACCGTCCCGGGTCAGCAGTTCGGCCTCCCATGAGGAACAGCAGCAAGACAGCGGAAAACAGAAAATGAGAAGGTTATGAGGCAAGCGAGCACAGCTGGAGATGCTTGAGTGAGACCATGGACAAACAGCAGCAGGCTGCAGTTTGAAGGTGAAGCTGAAAGTGGGGCAAGGTGAGCGTCGAGAGAGGAATTTATCGCCAGACTGAGAGTCGTTTTTTTATGAGGAAGTCTCTCCAATTCTCAGCTGAGCTGATTTTGGAGTATGGCTTTTTGGGCTGGATGTAAAAATAGAAAGAGAAAAAAAAAAGTTTGATGTGTGAGAGTAAAAAAAACGAGTATAGATTAGGTGGACAGTGGAGTATTTCAACAGGTGGGACACAAACGTGGTTTTGCAAGTCACAAATAAGTCTCAGTTCTCAGTTATGTACTGAGTCAAGAAACTAGTCAAGACTAAATCCTAAAATTTGTGTTTCCAGTCATTAAAAAAGTCAATTTTTAATTAAAAGTAAATGTTTGTGTAGTTTTTATTTAAAGGCAAAATGATCTAGTGTTTCTTTGTCTGTGTTTTTTCTGAGTCAGAGTAGATTCATTTGTAATTCATGAGCTGAATGTTTTGTATGTTCTTGTCCATTTTTGTTGATCGAATGTGACAATCGGAGGTATCATTTTGCAGGTCTGCACTCCCTCCCCTTACATGATTAGCTGCTGACGGACTGATTTAAAGAATATCCACTGTCGGGAAAATGACGAGCTGATTTGATGCAGCCTTTTTGTGTCACATAATATTTAATATTTTAGGCTTGTGGAGGATTACAAGTCAAAAGATACAACGTCTCAGTGAAGTCAAGAGTCTTTTGTTGTTAAAGTCCTAAGTCATCAGATTCATGAGTCTGACTTGATATGAAAACCACAGTATGCAAGCACATATCCATAACTATTTCAACCACATAGAAGTAAGGGCAGAGGCGCCAATAAACAATTGATTTCCACTGAACACCAAGCCTATGAAAGGTTCAAACATCTCACCAGGTTGACAAAGTCTTGGTAGCAGATCTTCCCGTCGGCGTTGCCATCGGCGAGGGCCAACAGGACTTCCAGTTTGTGGGGGTCAAGCTCAGAGCCGTGGGTCGCCAGCAGGTCCCTGAACCGCTCCGTACTGATGAAGCCCGAATCCTCTGGGTCATACTGCAAATGAACACGAACACAGACCATGCAAAAGTGAAAAATAAATAGAATAGACACAAATACGTCTTCTCTCTATAGATTACAGGCCCATGCGGTATGTCAAATAATCACCAGATTCAAATAAACATGTGAGAAGTTCATGAGCAATATCCCCCCAGTGCATAATTTTATGTGCAGCCAAACATTAAAAGATCAAAGTCATCAGCAGTGGTTTAGTCACAGTTTGAGCATCTTATAAATGAGACCTAATTGCTCCAAAAAGGCCCAACTGTGGAGACGCAGCAGTGACTTTTAACAGCTTTGGATTTCGCTTTGAAATGACCACAATTAACCACAAGGCCGTACTTCTGCTTATTCAAAGCCAGAAAAAGAGTAGGCATTCAAATGTAACACCAGACATTCTGACAAAACCAAAGATATTTAAAAAATCTGGGAATTCCAAAAGCCTTCAGAGCAATGATCACTCAAGCACTCAAATGTGAAAAGAGCTCTGCACTTTCCTCCGGCTTTGACGTCTTGGTCCCACACACTCTTTTCTTTCCTTAGCACTTAATATCTTTGGGCTTCAAAATCTTAAGTGACAATTTGGAGTGAAAGTACCACTTGTAAAATACAGAAAATGTAAACATGTACATTATGTTTGTGTTTCGTGTTGTAAACTATATCTAAGGAGAGCAGATTGCAGAGAAATGAGCAAAGATCCTTATTATAGCCTATTCTGTTTCAAGTGGAACAGACTGCCAGTAATTCTGCCTGCATGGACTCCTAAAAATCAAGCTGCTCTTGATCCTCTAAAACAAGGATAAAACTAAAGAAAAACACTGCAGCTGTGTGACAGTATTTGTCTGTTCAACTGAGGACAAACTGGCCTGGAATACATGTATGAAGGACTTGAGTATTTGATTTGAATGTCAGGTTGTTTGTGGATGCAGGCGGAAGACAGCTGCTACTTCTCTATATGCGTTGTGTGTGAGAGTGTGTGTGAGTGTGTATGCATGTGTAGCTCTGTGCGTCTCAGTATCTGTATATTTGCAAATGTGCGTACGCGAGTGTAACCACGCCTGTGTGTGTAAATACAGTGCATTCCTGCATAAAGATGTGACATTCAGACATTATGAGACGCCTGCCAGATTCCAACACCCCTGAACCAGAAATAGAGGCTGCGCGCATGCATGCACGCAGGTGTGTGTGTGTCTGTGTGTGTGTGTGTGTGTGTGTGTGTGTGTGTGTGTGTCTACGTGAGTGTGTGTTTGCCGTACGCCGCTATTGGCAGACGCTGAGTAAAGCCAGGCTGGCAGCTCCACCAAATGACAACGGGGAGAAGAGGTTTTGGCTCTGCCTCGTGTTACCTAACAGTGATAAGGCTTTTTTTCCTTCTTTTTTTTTTTTAGCTGTTGAGGCTGCAGTTGTCAGTACACTTTCCACTCAATGTCATCCGTGAGATCTGGCGGTTATAATCACTCACACTTGGCCTGAAAAATTGATTTTATGCAGCTTGTGTGGCTGCAGTATTTTGGTATATGATGAGAGGATTATCTCCAAATAAGCATCCTTGTTTCTGTGTGGCAGGTATGCTAATGATATACAGTACACTCGTTACAGTAAGTGTTTGGAAGACATATGGCATAGAATAACTCTTCAGATGTGAGATCACACACAAAGAGGTCACCGTCCGTCTGTTCTATTAAAAAAGGCCTCCATCAACAATCAGATTAGTGTTTCCCAAACTGTATTTTTTTCTGGGGACCCACTTTATAAACATGACTATAGGCCCTCTCTATAACTGTGAGAAGACCACATTTGTGCGTAAACAAATGTTCCTGACTATTTCTACTGCCATTTTTGCATCACCTTATATTATCTTGAAAAGGTAATCCTGCCATTTTGAGGAGATATAAGTTATATATATATATTCGAACTTTTTTATGTTTGAGGGCTAACAGGTGTTATTGAAAACAAATACACGTGTTAAAAACTTCATAAATGAGTCCAAATAAATACAAATACACGTGTTAAATACTTCATAAATATATTTAGGTGGAGTTGACAGGCTATTGTTTCTTCTTCTCATCCGCATAACAAACAGAACGTTATAAGTAGGCTACAATTATCAGAACAATACAAACATTCAGGCTCCCTCATGTAGCACAAATGTGCACTGCAGATATAAACGTTAAACAAAAGACTATTTTTATTAGTAAATTAAGCACTAGATAGAAGACAAAATTACCCAATAATCAAATATAATATGATTTTAGTAGAGTGGTGCAGAGACATTTTGCTGTCAAAAAAAATCGGTGAGGAACAATAAACTAACCAGATGAAGTCATTTCATGTAGTTATGACTTTGGATCTTTGTCTGCAATGCTTTTTCCCCACTTTACATTGACTTATGGCTGTCTACGCTAAATTGCATCTGGACTATGTGACAACTTGCTTACATGTAAATATCTGGCGTGGGAGGTGTGACGGCAGTGTGACGGCAGTAACATCCTATTTTGGTGCGATCTGATGTATCATTGGATATGAAAAGGCAACTTGGGGATCACAAGTGTAACCTTACCAGAAGTGAGCTGTTCAGTTATGACAACCGGTCGGAATGTGTGCCATCTGCCACATCGCATCCAACAGAAGAAGAGGAGGAGGAGGAAGGAGGTGTTGCATAAATCATTTGTATAACCCCATCCAACTAGAGAGTATACTTTACAATGACTGTGCATTTTTACAGAGGCAAATGCAAACAAACAAGAACTCCTGAATGCGATTAAACTTGCACTGCTGAGTCCAACATACACAATGTCTCCTTCCGTTACATATGTACGGCACACCAAAGCAACGCTCTCTCTCTCTCTCACACACACACACACACACACACAATACATCAAATACTATTCTACTCACTCTACAAAAACAACCAACCTTCTCTTGCAGTAAATCAGCCAGTTTCTGTCGAGGCCATTTTGTCATGATGACGAAGTAACGTCGGCCAAAGCAAAGTCTCACCACTAATGTGAATGCGAAAAAATATATGTGTTGTGTGTGTGTGTCTCTGTCATATTGTTTGTCCCAGACTGCGGGGTGTTATTTCTAACCAGGACTGAAGGATTACAGTCCACTCCAAGACCCTCAACACACACCTCCCCCATCTTTATCCCTCAAATAAACACATATACACGCACCCCTAAAACCCCAGTCACCCTGCTCCCCCGCCCCCTCACCCTCACCCTACAATCATACCCCCAGCCCCAACCCCCTTCACTGTCTCCCCTCTACTTTCTCTTTCTTTAGAGCTAACATGTGGGCTCCCTCAGAAGAAAAAATAAATAGTTCAATAAATTTGCCCGTTGTCTCTTTTCCTGTCGTACGTTATTTTCCACACACACACTCCCTCGCTCGCTCCACTTTTTTTTGCGCCACCACAGGCTTGATAGTTGAGTGAGCAATCTCTGAAGTCAACAGGCCGGCTGCTGGGGAGGAGCAGGAAGAGGGACACACACTCAACAATGGGTCTCCGATGGCAATTTCATGCAAGGTTCACCCAATCCCGTCACTCCAATTAGTGTTCATTTCCTTTTGATGCAACCAGAGGTCCATGCGGAGGAGGACATTATATGATACAGGAACAACTCGCCGTCCAAGATTACTCGAGCTTCACCACAAACTCAAAACTTTAAACATGTTTAGGATTAAGAACAAATCTCAGCTGTAGGGCTGCAACTAACAGTTGTTATTCAGATACCCCAAAAAGATATTCAATTTACTCTCATAGATGACTAAGCATACCAGCAAATATTTAAAATTCTAAGCTGGAACTGTTAAATTATTGGTATTTATAAAAATGTGTCTTAAATGTCTGTTCATAACAATAATTAAAAATACACTGGACTGTATTTAGTTGCAGCATCACTTATACGAGGAGAGAATTTTGGGTAATGCAGTACTTACATACTAAGTAGCGTGTGCGTGTCGGAACATTCAACAGATTGTGAACTTTTATCCCAGCACATTTTCCATTTTCATAGCAATGTTATTGTCTCTGCTCCATAAGGCTTGTTTTGCAAACAGCAAAGGGAGCGTGATGCAAATCCCTCAGATTAAAATAAGCACAAAGACGCACACACACACACACACACACAGACAAATCCTGGTGCAGACAAATTACCACAAACATTCCAAGCCAATGAGCTTTCATATTAAGGGCTTCTCAGCGGTGGTGTCAGTGCGGAGGAGTAAAACAGCAGAGGGTGGGGAGCAGCAAGTAAAGGAGGGTTGGTCTGGGCGGTGGGGAGGGGGGGCATTTTGGACACAATGCAAGGCTCTTTGTCTTCAGGCTCATTTTCATAAAGCTGAATATTAAGGAAGTAGAGGTTTGTAAGGGCCACGGAGTTTTTTCTGAATACTGCAGTTTGCACATGAGAGCATGGAGAAATGTTGGAGCCTGGGCCAACATAAAATATACAAAAGGCTACAGGGAAAAACATACTCAAAACAACTTAGAATTTGATTAAATCTAGCCTGCGGGGTGAAAGATCACAAGATCTTTTTTTAAAAGTAAGTGGATATCATACTTTCTGACCAACTACCGTAAAAACAAAACAAAAATCTCACTTTCTCTTACTTAAGGATCTCAACTGGCTCCATTCAGTCTTTTCAAGTGACAAAAAAAAAAGCTAAACCAGAGAAGTCCTCTGCTGTACCTAAGAGGTTGATTGCAGGATGTTTATCTCAAGTCATTAACTTGTTTTTTTGGAGTTACACCTGCTAGTCAAATCCCCTGAGAAAGGCTTGGCAGGAGGTGATTTGAGATTTTGCGATGAACTTTTCTCTGACCTCTGGTACTTTCAGTGACCTTTGACCCACACTGGGTCACTGTCCAGGGGTTTGGAGCTGCAGATGAGCTGCTGTCTGGAACAGTAAGTGCACACTAAAGGGAAGAAGGAAGCATGGGGTGTGAGTGAAGACAAGTCTAGAGTTAGTTTAGCGAGACAGTGAGTAACTCA